GTGTGTGTGTGTGTGTGTGTGTGTGTGTGTGTGTGTGTGTGTGTGTGCCTTTTTTGATGCATCCTGCAGAATTCTTCTTTGTGGGCATCTCTCTGCATTGGTGAGTGATTTTGTGTGCGTCGTGTACGTGTGCAAGTAGGTGTGCCCATCAAAACAATGTTTTTGCTCTGATGACATGATAAAAGGATGCTCTTTGAGTGCTCAGACATGATTATCGGTAAAATTGACAACACGGAGGTGCCGTGTTCAAGGTCCCTGCTTTGCTAATGGGTGGATGGCACCAGGCGTAAAGAGTGCTCATTATGAATGAAGACCGTATGTTGGACACGTTGCACTGTTTACTGTGGAGGTTTCTTCTGACTAGGTGGCGCCATGTACATCATAATTTAGTTGATTACATTTTGTTTTGATAATCTGAATCTGCAAAGTCACTAGTGACTACAGCTGTCAGATTAAGGTAGAAGAGGTAAAGAGTACAATATTTCCCCTCTGAAATGTAGATTAGATGTAGATGAGTACATCTAAACTGTATGTACAACTTGAGTAAATGTGCTTAGTTACATCATGTCTCCACTGCTTAGTTGTGAGGTTAATTGTAGGTCTGAGATGGGCCTTGAATGTTGGCATTGAATTTAATCGCATTCAGTCAACTGTTGCCCTGCATCACCAAAAGCGGCATCACTAATGCAACACACATGCAATGTTTTTAACTTGTAGCATATGTTGAGACAAATGCTCAAAAAGATCAAAAACTTATCAGTGCTCAACTCTCAGGTGAAAAATTCTGGTGAAATTATTCAACAAATTATTATTTTCCTCTTGCGATTTAACTTAAACCCTAAGATGAACTCTAAGCCAGGCACCAAGATAAATAGAGTATTATTTACACTCTTCTGGAATTCAGACTACCGTTTAGTGACTCCTTGTTGTCACAAAGTTGTGACTAAATCGAGGTGCCAGGCAGGTCTCTCTCCTCGCCAAATGTCAAGCTAATTATTATCCACAGCCAAACTAACGGTGTACAGGTGGACTTGGGATGAGTGTGAAGTTGTCTCAATACAAGTGGTATACTGTGTCATATAAATAGCCAGAATTCTCTGCCTCTCCTCTCCTATTACCCATTACTACGCCTCAAAGTCACCCGGGCTGCTCTCACATTGTTGGCAAACAATGCATTTATTGTTTAGTAGTATGGACAACTACAGATTTTATCTGTAATAATAGTTCTACAGAACTATTATTTTTTTCTACGGATGTCAGGTTTTGAGCCACGACAAGGCCCGAACGTGGCCTGCAACAGACTAGGTGAGGCTTGTTTTTACCCTAGCCCCTACCGGCTGGTTAAGAGGAGTCAACAGTCAGTATAAGCAGTCCATGAAATTGGGACTCACCTCAACCACGGTCATAAATGGGCACAAAAAATATTTGGATGCTGGGTCCAGTAGTGTTAGCTGCGGACAGACAAAGGAGTATACACACACACACACACACAACCGAACACATGATCCCCGCTGGCTTATGCCTGGCAGAGACTTTGATCCACATCTTTATTCATTATGTTGGTGCTTGTGCGATAATACATTTTAATGATGCCAAGTTCAACATTTGCAATTTTACCTTTTGCCAAACACAAAACAGCAGTTAGTGTTCCTACTGCACAGTAGCTCTGCACAAAAGTAAACTAAAGCTTTGCAATGACCTTTGACCCCCCACAGATGATTGACAGTCAGCTGTCAGCACAGAGGAGGGCGATGAGGAGTCTTCCTGAAGACATCGGCCAGCAGAAGACCAGCACCTACATCGTGCCCTGCTTCCTCTTAGTGGAGGTGAGTGTTTGGACACATTCTGTTGTTGTGCTTGTTGAGAAAGGTTTTTTCCTTTCTTTTGCATCAACAACGGTTAATGGACTGCATTTATATAGCGCCTTTCTTCCTTACCGGACAAAGCCCTTTACAATTTTGCTCATTCATCAATTTACATTAAGTCTGTAATTTAAATAACATAACAAACATACTTTTTGTAAGCCAAACCAAGTTGTTTTTACTAAAGCCAACCAAGTAGATTTATGTTGTTATACTTGAATTTACAACATTTAACCATGTGTTTAAAACTGCAACCGTTATGCGTCCTGAGCCACAGCCGCCCCTATAACAACTGAAGGCAATATTTGCCATATCGGACTTAACCTAAATCTCAGTCTTCCGTGTGCTGATATTGTGCAGTTGGCAGAAATGAAGAGTTGGCTGTACACTGTGCTGGCATTGGAGGATTTAGAAAACCTCTGGGAACTTGGAGTCACACAGAGCAAACTGATGGACACATGAAAGCACATTTTACAGACTTCTGCCTGTGAATGCTCCTCTTCCTCTCCTCTTTTATTCACGTTTCTTTCTTCCATCATTTCACATGTTTCTCATGGCGGATTAACAACAATGCGCGTTAGTCGGGAAATTGCATGAATTAGCCGGGTCCGTTTTCAATTCGCTGACTCCCAAAAGTAGTCATTGATTGGATTGAATTGTCACAAATGGGTAATTACCCTCACTCCATGAATCATGTATAGATAACATTCAGCGGCAGGGCGAGGGGGTTTATCGCTGAGGTATTCATGCAACAAAGGCGCCTCTCAAGTGACCTTTTTGCTCATAAAACTCCTTGATTCCTCTCCTCTTCTCCTCTACTCTTCCCACGACTCTTCCCCTCTCCCTGTAATCCCTAAATGAACTGATGGAGCGCTCATAGCCTCAGCTTCGTTTCCTAATTAATTGGCCTAATTAAGAACGAAAACCCAATTAGCCCATGCCACCGCTAACGCGCTCCAGGCCTTCAGGCCCTCTCAGCTACAGCAACGACTGCTGAATAAACAATTTTTTGGGTTTTTTTTTTTTTTGGCATCTTTGTTTTTGGATCCAAGATGTAATGTTGCATTCTTGTAGGGGTTCAGATATTAAAGTCTGAGGTTGGTGAAAAGTCAAACGGTGCCATAGAAAGTTGAGTAGATGAGTCAGAAGTTTGGGTTTTGCAACAGTAGAGCTGAGGACATGTGGACGTTTTCCCGTCCCACCGGTGGACACAAACAACAAGTGAAAACTTGCTCTCATTCACGTTTTTACAATTTCTACTGCAAACTGCATCTTTCTTTAGTGCACCTGCAGTAGAACCCTGAACCTCAACCTCATTCTTCCCAATTTTCTTTCTTTGTACTCGCTCACTCATTCACAACATCCTCATTCACATACCTCTCTGTGACCACCGCATCTCTTCAGAGCGCAAATATCCCACAATCCCCTGCAGGTTTTAGGTGCGACCCTAAGCTTGCTTTTATTTTTCTTTCATTGTGCTATGGTGTTGGCTCATTCTCAGCATCCTCTTGAGGAGTTGTTATAATGATTATCCAGCTTTCTAATTTTTCCATAGTGCATCTTTAACATCTCCAGGCTTATGTCTGTCACTGGGGAGCTCCTCCCCTCCTCCAGTATTCTCTTTGATGGTCTCTTGAGTACTGCCCAGTCACTCTTTTTACACAGATCATTCACATCACTCCTCTCCTGCTCCTTTGGGTAATTACATCTTTTGCGCCATGGATCTCGCCATTACTCCCCTTTACTTGTAAAGCTTCATCTCCTCCTCCCACTCAAAAAGCCCGTCTGCTATCGCAAAGATCTCCTTTCTCCCTCAGCTTCACGCTCCCTCATGCGTCTCCGTCGTCTCTTCTTTGCTCATTTCATTTCCCCCACCCCTCTTTTCTGTTCACCCCACTTGTCCTCGCGCTCACCTCGTATCACACGCTGTGGAGGGTGCCATGAACATATACTTTACACTCCTGTGGAGGAGGTGTTGCGAGGAGCTGATGCTCTCTCTGCTTTCAGCGGTGTCTTTACCACTTTGTCACCTTAATCGCCCCTCTCTCCAGGGTTTATTTTATTTTGCTCTAACAGGGCCAGAGGTGGGCTGATCTGAATATAATTTGACTTTTATCACAATATATGAGCCTGAATGAATCTGTGTACATTGCAGTAGTTTAATAAAGGGCATTTTTTAATTTTATTCCGCCCCCTTAATGTGTTCACACTGAAGCAGCGTACTGTAGCATCGCTCCCTCCGGAGGGCACTCGCTCCTTTGTTGTTACATTAGCATCTCATTACCCGTTTCTTTTCAAACGCCCAATCTTACTCCTCTTCCTCTCTTGTGATCTTGTCGCCGATTCCATCTCTCTTCACCTCCTTTTTGTTCACAATCCAGCTCTCCATCTCTCACCGTCTGGCTCTCTCTTTCTTTTGTCACTTTGTATTTCCGGCAACGGCCATTTTCCTCATTCCCGGTCATGTCCCGCTGTCAGTTCATCGCTGCTTTAATCGCAGGGCTTGTCTACCGTCTCTTAACTTTGATTACTGTATCGCTCCCTCCCCTCTGTCCCTGCTTTCCATGTTTTCTACCGTCTTCCCTCTGTCTCTCCCATAGTCATCATTTTCTTCTTCTGCTAGATTAAAATGGGAGAGCTGGCCTTATCAGTTTCCCATACAAAACGAGGAGGGATTTCACTCAGTTTCACTTTTAGTTGCATAGGATAAAAACAGCACAATGGAGAGGAGATAAGTCGCCCTCTCTCTCTATATATCTCTCCCCCTATCTTTCGCTCTTGTTTTCACTCCATGCTGCTGCTGTTGCTGCCATCGCGCTGCGAAGCCACACAGGGGACTGATCCGCAGCCTGACAGAAGCAACGCTTCAAAGGGACCCTCCTTAAAAAGTAATTCTGATACAACTGTTCCCTGACATGCTTTGGACACTGCTGGATGGAAAGGAGGGTGGTGAGTTGGTGTGATCTAGGCCAGACTGGCCCACTGTGAAAAACTGTACTGAAGATGACTTACAAAGTGACTACAAGTGGACTCTTTGAGTGGATCTCTCTGAGCGTACAACTGGCAGCCAGTGAGTGGTGGTGTGGCATCAGCTGTAACATTGGTAAGATGTGATTATAGTGGCTGTACTGTAGCTGCTAATTCATGGCACCCAGCCATTTTCAGTGTGTATCCTGGCTTTCCACTTCTGCTGTTCAGTCTCAACTGCCTGCTTAGAGTAGCCATGCCTCCTCCTCTTCCTCCTCTCCGCTCCCTCCTCATGCCTCGTTGGCTGCATCCTCTCGTGGCACAGCGGGTTCTGCAAAGTAAACAGACATGCTGATCATCAGACAACATGATGTTTCAGGTCTGCGGCCAATGATGTCTCTGATGATACTCTGAGGTGTCCGTTCACGTCTGCTTGCGTCTCTCATTTCCCAGGTTCCCTGCAGATGCCCTAATGTTTGCCTGCTCAGTAGTTTCTGCCTAATCAATAAAATTTACGTCATTACTTTTTTTTGCGTCATGCAAAAATGTGGTTCATGAGTTCCTGTTTCAGTTTACATACTACTAATTTGCAAGTTGTTTAATTCTCTCCGCCAACCATCTGATTCTCCCCCACTATTATTATTATTATTAGTTAATATTGTTATTGTTCATCATCACTTTTTCTTCTATTTTATTGTGTAAAGCACTTTCAATGAAATGCGTTGTGTGTAAAGTGCTGTATATGTAATGTTGAGTTGAGTTGAACATGCAGGCAAGTTCCTTTTGCTTTAGTTGTTACTAACAACTAAAACCAGCAGCAAATTTGCCAACTCAATGCTTAATCCACGCACACACACACACACACACTTCTCACTTCGTAGGAAAGAACATTGCTATCGCCAGATAAGTGACAACTTTGTTAGGCCAACTTTCCAGTGTAGCATTAAAGTATGATGGAATTAACAAGTTAGCTAGTTAGATTCTGCCATGCTTTAATGCTTTAATGCTACACTAGTTACAGCAGTGCTGATCTAACGGTCCCTCCGCCTCATTCCCCGCCGCTCCGGAGAAGGACAAGCTAACTAGCTAACTAGCTAGCAATCCGTCTACGAAGCTGCGTTCACTCTCTCCCTGGAGATCTGCCACATTACTTTACATGTGCTGTCATCGGAACAAATAACAATAATCATCATTTTCATTAGTACTACTCAAATGACCACGGAGAACAGTTCAATGTCTGTTCTACTCCTATGCTAGTACTTTGGTTTAGGCTCTTAGTTAACATGTGAAATTTGCGGGTTTCCCCTTTAAAGTCTGCTTACAGGTTTTTGGGAGTGCTTCCGTGTACTGTATGTGAAAAAAAGTTGTCTAAAGTCTGTGCAAAGTAGAATTAGTGTAACCTGAGCATCTCCCTACTCCATTTGATAAAGCAGTGCCACTGAACATAATCTAACAAGGCAATTGCATTTCTTGCCTGAAATATTTGGCAAAATTAGTATATCAAACGTATATATAATTTCTAGGAGACAGGGTGGTTCTGAATGATTACAGACCAAGCTTCTGTTGTGTTTCATCTGTCTTGCAGCTGATCATAGGCTTTTCAGTGCAACTTCAGGAAACACTGTGCCTTGCTGGTTGAAAGTATATACGCTACATGTTGCTGTGTATGAGCATGGAGGTCCTCTGGCATCTCTTGCCGTCTTTTTGGGTTTTTTTTTTTAGCTGTGAAGGCAGCACAGTATCGGTTTCTCAATAATGAACAGCATCCTAAATGCATTAGGTCTACAGTTCCCTACAACAAAGCATCTTCCTCTCTGCATGCGCTCACTTCATCCTTATTCCCTGCTGGGTCTGATACTGCCTCAGAACATCTTCTACCTCCAAGCAACACATTTGCTGCATGTGTTTAGTCTTTTCTAAAGATATTTTGTTCCAAACAGCTTCACTTGTACCAAGACCCCCCCCACACACACACACATACACCAAACTGTACTCAC